AAAATAGGAGCAAGGTTTAAGGTATATTTCTACTAAGTCACTTATTTTATCCTTACATTAGCATATTCCTACAATTTCCCCTTAATATTTTGTTAATTTTATCCCTGTAGTATATAGATATTAAATGTTAACACAATTCTTTTGTTGTACATTTTTAGGAAGAAAAAAAACATTGATTCGTTGATTGTACATCAATTGTCTTATATGCTTTATGAACATAACACTCATGAAAAAAGTTTTCAGATGGCCAAACAATGGTTAACTAATTGTAATACTCAAAACTTAAAATTTAGACTCATTTCTGATAGAATCACTGATGGGAGAATATATAATCAACCAACCATATCAAAAGTTGTCACCTTAGTCGTTGGTGATGTTCACACGGTAGAAATGAGGGATATAATCATGCAAACAAAAGGAGGGAAACTATAGAGAATTAATGAGCTTCATGCAAGTTACTTGGCTTATCAGTATCCATTGATTTTTTTGTACGAGAAAGATGGTTATAGGCCTAACATAGCTCATAGAGACTTATACATCTTCCAAGACAACAAGAGAAATAGATTTACCATAAGAGAATGGCTATCATTTCACATTCAAAGCAGGTTAAACGAAGCAAAGTCTTTGTTATCATCACGGAGGCTATTCCAACAATTTTTGGTTGACGGTTATAGAATGTTAGAGTCTGAAAAGTTAGAATGGATTCATAAAAGATAAACCAAAGCTAAGGGTGTCCAAGTACAAAAGTCTTAGTGAAAAAGGTGATCAAAGTCAAACATCAGGTTCAAACATAGGGAAAATAGCGGTATTGCTATCATCCTATGTTAGCGGTCGTATGTTTATGGATTAATTCTACTATAATGGGATGGCTATTTGTAGTAAAATGGGATTTCCTGATTTGTTTATAACATTTACTTACAATCCACATTGGCTTGAAATACAAAGATTATTTGAACCTCTTCATTTGGAAGCACATGATAGACCATATGTCATTTCAAGGATATTTAAAATTAAGTTTGATCAGTTACTTTCAGATTTAACAAAGAATGACGTGTTAGGAAAAATACTCGCATGTAAGTTTTTTTCACCCTTACTTATCCTATATTTACTTTCTACTAAGACTAACTTATTATTTCCTTATTCGTTTCTAGATATGTACACCATTGGGTTTCAAAAGAGAGGGTTGCCACATGCATATATCTTGATCTTTTTGCATCCTTTTAACAAGTATTCAAGACTTGAAGATATTGACAAAATCATTAATCCTGAAGTGTGTGATCCTTTAAAAGACCCAAAGTTGTACAATTTGATTAAAACTCATATGGTTCATTGTCCTTGTGGTTTGGCAAATCTAAATTCATCTTGCATGAAATGTTCCAAGTATTGCCCAAAAAAATTCCAAACTCCGACTATAGTGGATCAAGATGGCTATCCCATTTATAAGAGAAGAGACAATGGACACACAATTGAGAAAAACAGAGTCATCCTTCACAGTGGTCATGTAGTTTCATATAACCCAAGTTTATTGTTGAAGTATGAATCTCACATCAACATGGAATGGTGCAATCAAAGTACTTCTATCAAATACTTATTTAAGTACCTAAATAAAGGTTTTGGTTGAATATCTATTGTCATTCAACCTTCAGACGATACTACATATGGTGAGAAAAACAACATTGAAGAAATTAAACAATATCTAGATTGTCGATACATCTCCCCGAGTGAAGCATGTTGGAGAATATTTTCATATTATATACACGGTAGGAAGACAACTGCAGAGAGATTGTATTTTCACATGGAAGGAGAAAGTTCTGTTTACTACAAAAACTTAGAGCAAATTGGTAATGTTTTACTCAAACCAAGTATAAACAAACCAATGTTTACAATATAGTTTGAGGCAAACAGAAAATTCGAAGATGCAAAATTGTTAACATATGGTGACCTTGTCTCTAAGTTTGTTTACCATAAACCAAGTAGGAGTTGGAAACCAAGGAAAATATGGTAATACCATTGGTCATATTATTTGAGTTCCTCAAAGCACAAGTGAAATATATTATTTAAGGATGATGTTGACTGTTAAGAAAACCCATTAAGTTACAAAGATATTAAATATGTTGATGGCATACAACATAAAACTTTTAGAGAAGCATGCTTTACAATGGGATTTCTACAAGACAATAGAGAATTTATTGAGGAAATTAAATAGACACATTTTTGGGGTTCTGGTGTTTTTTACGGAAGTTATTTGTTACTATGTTGTTATCATCATCCATGAATATACCCGAACATATTTGGAATAATTCATGGATGTACTTATCTGACGGTATTCTTTATGAACAACATATGTTGACAAAAAATCCAGCTACACTATTTATTTCATGTGTTTATGCTTGCTTTTTCTTTACTTTAATAATAGGTTTTTTACTTTAACTTATTTCTATACCATAAGATTGACACTTACTGATGAAGAAATAAAACAACTTAGATTGGTGGCTAAATTTATATGTATCACTTACAAGTAACATGAACTTGTTTTCAATTCATTTAAACATTTAAATTTGATGTTTATCATACTAACATTTATGTTATGATGATGATATTTGTAGATGAGCAAAGAAATATTTTTGAAGTAATGGATGCTGTAGAAAACCAAAAAGGTAAGTTGTTTTGTCATATGACTATGGTGGAACTGGTAAAACATTTATGTGGAACATTTTATCAGTTGCACTTCGTTCGAAAAGAAAAATTTTCTTGCATGTTGTCTCAAGTGGAATTGCAAGTTTGTTGTTACCATGTTGAAAAATAACTCATTCTAAATTTAAGATTTCAGTCCCTGCTTTTGAAACATCCATTTGCAACATTGACAAAAAAGATGAACTTGATAAGCTTTTAAAGTTAACAAATATAATCATATGGAACGAGGCTCCCATGGCTTTTTTTTTGCTTTGAGAATCTTCACAAATCTTTGAAAGATATTATGAGTGAAAATACACATGCTTCTGCCAATTTTTTTGGAGGAAAGGTCGTAGCATTTGGTGGTGATTTCAGACAAATTATGTCTGTTATACCAAGAGGTAGTAGATCATATATTATTTATGAAACAAGTAACACTTCTTATATTTGAGATCATCGAAAAGTTCTCAAGCTTACAAAAACATGCGCTTGTAAAGTGGTGCAATAACATCTACCGCAGAGGAGATTCACATTTTTTCTAAGTGGATATTACAAATTGGATATGAGACAATGTATGAAACAAATGATGGTTATGTTGACATTTCAATTACTGAAGAGTTTCTAATTTCAAAAATTTCAGATTCTATTGAGGTTATTGTTGAAAGTACCTACCTTGATCTCATTCATAACTATTATGATTTCAACTATCTTCAAAGCTGTACAATTCAGCTTTAACAATTGAAGTAGTCGATGATATCAATCAATACATCATAAACGTTCTTGCATGTACTAATCATGCATTCATACTTAAATTCATGTCGTTACCAATGCAGACCGTATATTTTTATTTCAATATATATATATATATATATATATATATATATATATATATATATATATATATATATATATATATATATATATATATATATATATATATATATCACATATAATTTAATTGGAATGCACTGAAAGTATAAAACGATTTTATACTACCAGTTAATAATAGACGTTGTATGTTATGAGAAGTTTGACTTTTATTTTAAACACATATAAGGTAATGCAAACCGATGATAATGATGAATTGACCATGTAAAACTTTTTACACTGCCAATGCATAATAATTAATCTCATATATATATATATATATATATTATTTTTAAGGAGAAGAAAATGAATACTCCAATAGTGATTACATAGATAAATCTGAATCTATTGACTTTGATGTATTTGAGCACTTGACTCCTGAATTCTTGAATGCTCTTAAAATATTCGAATTGCCTAATTATTCAATAAAATTGAAAATTGAGGCCACTATTATGATGTTGCACAATTTAGATAAGTATGAAGGCTTATGCAATAATACATGAATTATTGTAACAAGGCTTGCTAATCATGTCATTGAAATTAATGTCATTTATAGAAAAAATATTGATAATATCATTTATATTCTTAGAATGTCTTTGTCCCCTTATAATTAGTATGACCATTTAAATTAATAAGAAAACAATTTTTAATTATTATTTCTTTTACTATAGCAATTAACAAATCTGATGGTCATTCTTTAGACAATGTTAATTTATAATTACCAAAAAAATATTTTTAATCATGATCAATTATATGTGATAATTTTAAAAATTAAGACTAAAAAAAGATTTTAAAATTTTGATTCAAAAGTAAACAAGCTACTAATACTACCACTAATATTATATTCAAAGAAGTTTTTATCTTTGACATTCTTTATCAACTTTACCACTATATTTTGTATAAAAATATTTTTATATATTACATATATTTGTTGTTGTATTTTGATATCATAATTCTACTTCTACATTGTACTTTCTCAATTAAATTTACTTTTTTTTCCTTGATAAATCTAAATATTTATTTATAGAATAACAAAATTAATTTATCCATGCCCGCAAGAGTATTAGAGCATTTACATTCATCATATCCGTTTTTGTGTTTTTTAAATAGGTCTCACTTATTTTTTTATATTATATTATACTTTTAAATTATTTAAATAACTCAACTATATTTTTCAAATATCCATACAACTCATAAAATTTGTAAAATAGATCCCACTAAATACCACAAATATCTTATATTAAATCTTTTTACAATTATTTTTAATTAAATAATTAATTAAATATAATGTAGGAATTATATATTTATAGATAATTATGCTCTTATAGTGGTTCAATTAAAACATAATAATTGTTATCCCCATGCGTACCTAAAACCCTGAGAAGTGTCTGCATTCCATTTCAAACTCGATAAACCTCTCACTGAGGCATTTCGAAGAAGAACCAGAAAGCAAAATATCAATGTCAGGTTTAAAGTTCGCACTATTCCATGTCCCTCGAACTCAACTTTTAACTACCAAACTCAACCATCCTTTTCTGCACCGCCGCACTTCTTTCTTCTCCTCCGCCGCCACCACCGCCACCGCCGCAGTAACTATATCTTCCGTCGACCATCCCTGGCCTGAATGGATCTCATTCGTTGACCGATTGACCGCCAAAGGTTATCTCTCCCAATCTTCTTCTGATGGCAGTGTTTACTCCAACGTCAAACTCTTGAAAGATGCTTCTCTTAGCTTCGCCCGTGACCGTTACGACGTTTTCAAGTTCGTTTTCCTTCCGATTTACCTGATTTCATATCGAATTAATTAATTGTCCATTATACACTCGAATTCATCAGAAAGTTAGGTTAGCTGCTTTTTTCTGTTACCTTCACGAAGAAAATAACTATTGTCATTATTATTACTATTAACATTGTTATTGTTATTCAAGTTGATGATGTAAGAATGTAGAATGAAAGTGTATTTATGAGATTACATGCTAAGGATTAGCATAAAGCCATGTTTGGATGCATAGTTTTACTATTTTACAAGTGTTGTATAAGCTGTCAAACTTTTTTTCTTTTTTGTATTAACTATAAGGTATTTTATGAACATAAGCGGAAAACAACTTATGAATGATATAAATTATTTCAATAAGCTCTCTCAAATAATCTTCTAAGTGCTTATGTCTGGAGATAAGGTAAAATAAGCTAATCTAGTCGGAGCCTAATTTAACTCATGTTGCTTGTTATCTTGTGCTGTATTATGTAGATTCATATTAATTTAACCTGCGATGCTTGTTATGTAGTGCTGTTTAAATTCTACATTGGTTGTTGTGCGTGTTATGCAGGTTTGCATTGATTTGAATTGTGTTGCTTGTTATTTTGTTATTCAGATTGCTGTCATCGGAAGATATTCAAGCTGTTGTTGAAGGAGGATGTCCTAATCTTCTCCGTAAAGCTGTTAATTCGGCTAAAAGGCTGAGAGCTCATCTGCGATTAGAAGAAGGCGATGTATGTGTATTGTTATACTTAGTTTTTAGAAGCATTTATGTCTTGAAGTACTGGTTAGTTACAAATTGAAAATAATATTTAATAAGATAAATGCTATCAATATTCACTTTGACATGCACGAATGCTCTTTATTATTGACGAACTGCTGAAATCTCATGCTGACAATACTCCTGGAGAGTGGAACTAAGTTATTTAGTATGGTTGGGGTGGAATTTTACCCAAATATTAACTATTATGTTGAAAAGTGAGTGTTAAATATTGCTAGCACTTCTTGAATTAAAAATGAAATTTTGTCACAAGTCTATGAAAGTTATTTTCTTTCCTATTTGAATATGAGGAGATGACAACACATGTTTGCTTCTATCTAGGTTTGTAGTGCTTGCAATCTGCGAGACTCTTGTGATAGAGCTTATGTGATTCTAAAAGAATCTGAAGCTGATGCTCGAACTGTGGATATTGTGCGGATACTTTTGTTTTATGCAGTAGACCCACTTGTTCTTTCTGGAGGAGAGAAATCACCGGGCCGAGAAGTTATTGAATCATCTGCAAGGCAACTTCTATCTCAGCTGATTGAGTTGAGCGAGGCATCTCCTGCTCCTCCTCCTGTTCCTGCTCAATCAAAGTCCACTTCAAAGGATACCGTGGCAAAAAGTAAACCTCTAAGTTTTAAGGCAGATATGTTGTCTAAACACGTTGAGATGAAGAGAGGCGACTGGACGTGTCCAAAGTGAGTTATATTAGCTTATGCAGATATATTCATAGCTTGCGTAATAATTTCTGCATGTTCAATGTGCATTGTTAATATTCAGAGCTAAAGTTTCTTCATTCACCAGCCATTTGTCCTCAGAAATTAAGCAAGTGTTCTATCATCTACCAATTGCAACTTTTACTAATAGCAACTAGATATTAAATTATCTCTTTTAAAATTTGCGGTGAAAATTATTACCTTTTGTTCATGTTTAGTAAAGTTCATTTTCTCTGTATTAATGTAGTCTTTCGTATTTGGCTGATGGATGGGTGGATTTGTTTTATATTTCTTGTAAAAAGTACACCTGGTTTTGTCCCGAAAGTGCAGCTGGTATGTTAAAAGGCTGCAGCGACAATTGATATGCTGAGGTGCGGGTTCAAACCCACGATACCCCTCTTCTCCGCGACTAGAGTGTGTGTGTCTGTGTGTGTGAGTTTTGCCACCTGACTTTTTGACCCAAAAAGATACACTTGCTTCTTCCTTGTCATGAATACTAATCATTATACTCTCCACAATTATTCTCGTGTTAATAAAAGTGTTCTATGTCTCTTGGCATATATAATTAGATGCTAGCGTTGAATGATTTGATCCTAAGAATCAGTTCTTTTACCCCCATAAATTTTCTGCAGATGCAACTTTATGAACTTCTCCAGGAATATGAAATGCTTAAATTGTGAGGAAGATAAGCCAAATATAATTGACCCTCCTGCTATTGAAATGAAGGAAGGAGATTGGACCTGTTCTGAGTAAGTGCTCTGTTTGCTTACCAGCTCTTTCTCACAAGGCATTGTAAACTCCTACATGTGAATGTCATCTTCCTTTCAAAAGTCAGCTGATACCAGTTAATAGTAATATAATTATATATATGAAGTGCCTTCCGGCCTCTGTTATGAATTTTTGTTTCACAAGCTTTTTTTTTCTATATGCAATTATGCATGTCAAAGTGACCTGTATCTTAACTGCAAATAACTTCTTTTCTTATTTCCCCCCCTATGTTGTCCATATTCCCAATGTCTTCAAATACTTGTGTTTTGTTTTCTTGTTTTTGGCGTCTTTGGTATGTTGAATTGCTGACTGCTCTTTGCTTTTTCTACAGATGCAGTTTTTTAAATTTTTCCAGAAACATAAAGTGTCTAAAATGCCAAGCAGAGGGGCCCAAGAGGGTCAATAAACTCAATATGAATGAGGTTCAAATGAAAAAGGGAGACTGGACATGCTCACAGTAAGCTTCCTATTTTCTCTGACAAGGAAAATTCCCGTTGACATATTTTTAGTTTTGTATGATGGTGGATAGCAAACTAATCAATTTTTAAATAATTACTGATAGATAACTTTGACACATTAACCTGGTAGCTGTTTTTTGATCGTCTCAAAATTCTGTTACTTACCATCTCTTTCCATTAATATTTTCTTTCATTTTTCACGAGGTAAACCTGTTAAAGTAACCTTTCTTTCTTGGTTGGGCTCTTATTAAAGCCTAATCCAGTCAGCCAAAAGTGTAAGACTTGTGAAGTACAATTTAAATTGTTGATTGCTTGCAACTACTTTGCCTTGCCCTGACTTTTTGGGGCTTTCTTCTACTGAAGTATCTTTCTACTTCTCTATTCAAAATTCAATTCTTAAAAAATTCCATTCAGCTTGCTATCTGTTTTTTATCTTGTTCTTTTGCCTGTGTATTTACATTCAGCTGGATAGCTGCATTTTGAACTACGACTCTGATAAGGTACTTGGCTAGTAGTTTATGGAGTGCCGGAGTCCCACATCGAGTAGTATAGGATGCTCGGTGGAGTATTTAAGTGGCTCAGTTCTTCCCCCTTGATAGCTACCTTTAAAGGGAAGGTTACCCACATGCTTAGACACCTATCAATTGGTATTAGAGATAGCTTCCAGGGGTTTGGAAAGGGGTGTCAAAGTCTCACGTCGAGTATTATTGGATGTTGGATGGAGTATTTAAGTGGCCGTGTTCTTCCCTTTTGATAGCTGGCTTTTAAGGTAGGGATTCCCGAGTGCTTAGATACTTATCAGACTCATCCTAGATATCTTAAGTTATTGCAATAGCTATGGTTTCTTATAGTTTTTCACCAGTTATTGAAGTCCTCATCAAACTCATCCATATGAATATATGGCTATATTGACAATTGATGAAAATACATACATGATAATCTAATGTAATATAAATATTCTACTATAGGGAAATGATTGTAATACACTCTTTTAAAACAATCTTGATGATCAGTTTATGTTTTAAAAAGTCAATTTAACTGCATTGTAAACTAAATTAACTAATATATTTTTGCGAAATGTTTTGGCATTTTAATGATTGAACCTATCTTTAAAAGTATGTTTACAGAATATGTCAAAAAGAACATGTTGCTAACACCCCGTCTTTTTCTATATATTATAGACATGGTTCAGGCTCCATATATGATATATCCTATATTTTTCCTACTGTTATGTGCAATAATATTGCCATCTTTTGGTGTAGGGATGCAATTTTGGCTCTTGGGGGGTTTGTGGTGATCTTATAAATTATGATTTTGATTATAATCTCATTCCCTTTAGTAACCCCTCTTTCCCCTTTAAAATTTGGGTCGGGTCTAACTCATTCTTACAAAACCGGTTTGTAAGGTGAGGATTGTCTTCACTTATAAACACAACGCATGTCATATCTCTAAGCAATGTAAGACTAAATTCACCCCTTCAAATCTAACACAATGAAGGTGTTAGAGGCTGCAACAAAGACAAGTCAAATGTTGCAATTTAGGCGACCAGGGGCAGACCGCAATGAAGACGGAAATTCCAACACCTTTTTTTTCCTGCATTTCATGTAGGCTATCGTCATTATCATCGTATACATCAGGATTCTAACTGCTGCTGTTATCACTTCTACCACTATGATATCGCAGTAGTTTATAGATCTTTTGTGACTCTTTAATTATTTTGCTGCTAAAACTGTTAATCAGTTCTTATGCATAGACATCTTTGAGCTTTAGCTAAAATGAGCTACCGCTTTGTTATGAGCAAGAGCAAAATTTATATTCCATCACGATGATTAATAAATCCTAGCATTTCTCTACATATGGTATAGAGTCAAAATGTTCACATTGACTTTTAATAGTTAAATAGTTTTCCTGTGTATGTAGGTGCGGGTTCATGAACTATGCGAGTAATATCAAGTGTTTGAAGTGTCCTGAGCCAAGGCCCAAGAAAAATTCCGGGGATTGGAATTGTCCTAAGTAAGTATTATCTTGCCACCATCACACAAACTTCTTGTTTCGTATGCTAGGTTACCTAATTTCTTCCATTAAACCATCAAAACTTTGATATTTGCTATTTCAAGTCTTTTTTATTTTTACATAAATTTTTCTATGTTTGCAGGTGCAATTTCTTGAATTTTGCGACTAAAGGAAAGTGTTTTCGTTGTGAAGAGTCAAATCCAAATTCCAAGCAATATCCTGGAGATTGGAGCTGTCCAAAGTAAGTCCATTGATTTTCTTCCTCTACCCAAGCTTATTGCATTAAAAAAAATTAATTTCATTTTATGTATTGCTTTATGCAGATGTGATTTCTACAATTATGCAAGAAACACGAAATGCTTGAAGTGCAATATTAAACAACCTAAAGAACAACCAAACAATGAGTATGAAGAGCATAATTGGAGGAGACGAAACTGATTAAAAAAAAACACCAGTCTTAATTTTGTTGAGGTCACATTGTGTTATTTGGTTATAAAATTATTTGTTACTTCTCATTAATGTTGATCTAATAGCTTCTTCGCCTTTGAAAATATCACTTCACCGTTGCAGGGTGTTTGTTTGATGAGAGTTTTGTGAAGGGATAATTTGCACTCGCAGTAAAAGAAGTTGTGGATAGATGGTTAATTTGTTTTGTATTTAATATTTGTTAGTTCATAATAACATGGGAAAAAAGGTTATGGAGAGGGTTATCATACTTTGTTTGGTATTTTATCCATAATTTGAGTTAAAAGACAAGTAAAATTTTATTACAAACTGTTGTATCACTAGAGATCAGACTCATGTATTGAAGATTGTCAAATCCGAGAGTTTATAGATTTGATTAGATAGACTCAATTCAACTCGATGCAAGTTTATCTAATATTGAATTGCAAAAGCTCAGTGATAAACAAACTCTATGATAGACCAAGAATTCCTCTCTAGCAATTGCTCGAGCTCCCAAGCATCTTTTTCCTGGCGAAAAGTAACGAGTTGAGAGAAATGTACGCTGGATAGGTAGTACTTATTAACAACAACCAAATCACAGAAATATTTGCATCAAAACAGATATCTAAATTAATTTTTTTTTAAATACATGATAAGAAGGGAGAAAATTTTAAATTTAATTTATTTTTAAATTGGATTTATGGAGTGATTGTAATTATGAAGAAAAAAGAAAATTTATTTTTTTTAGTTAATACTCCATCCGTTTTTTATAAGTTGTTTTTGACTTTTCACACATATTAAGAAATGTAATAATTATAATATTAAAAAGAGAAATTAGGAAGCATTTTACAAAATTGTTTCATTAATGTTATTGAAAAGACAAATTCAAAGGTATAATAAAAAAAAATAATGATTCATTAATATTACAAAACGATTTATGTTGTGATATAAAATATTTTTGCAAAGTGATTCATAATAAAAAGCGGAGGTAGTAAAAAAATTATGATTGATTATGTATAAAACTCAAATCTTCAGATTTTCATCCTAGAACTTTTCTCAAATCACTGACTCCCACTGTTTTTTATTATATGTCGTTTTAGAAAGAAAAAAGTGTGGAAATATAAATTGTCTTGTAATTTTAATGTAGAATTAATTTTTCTTTTTTCCAATGCAGATTGATATTTTTCAGTGTTATATTACAGTGCATTAGTCCAACCCTTTAGAGAAAAAATCTCTCTCTCCCGTGAAACTTCCCATTCGATTGTGAGTTTTTCAAAAATTTCTATCTATTAAAAGTGTAACTCAATTAAAACTCTCTCCCGTGAAACTTTCCATTCAATTGAGTTTTTCAAAAATTTATATCTCTTACAAGTGTAACTCAATTAAAACTTAAAATTTTTTCTCTTCAACCTGAATTTTTTCATGTTTTCTCGTGAATAGGAATTTTTATGGACGGCATAAGCATAAATAATCCAATAACCATAACTGATTTACATTTTTTCATGTTTTCTCGTGAATAGGAATGTTTATTAAAGTCAATTATCATAACTGATTTATATTTTTTTTAGAATGATTATAAAACAGTTATATTCATAATTAATTTTGATTTAATCTTATTTTTAAAGAATTTTTTATTTAAAAGAGAAGTTTTTTATTTTTTCTAAAAAAAATTATGTTTAAAAAAGTCATTTTTTTAATATTTGGAAAAAATATTTTAAACATTTAAAAAATATATATTTTATTTTAAAAAAAGTCATGAAGAAAAAATTTTTTTTTTCAAATTTTTTTATTTTAGATATGGATGTCCAAATTATGAATTTGGTTAAAATCATATTAGTAACGTATTCAAAATATAAATTTAATTAAAATCATATTAATAATTAACCGATTTTAAATAATTGAATTTAGATATGAATAATTTAAATAGTTAATTTGAGCACCCCTATTCATCAATTATGGATTTTATTTGAGAGGGAGATCAATCATGAATTTTAGTTGAGAGGGAGAAAAATAAGGTTCAACCTGAACCTTTTCAAGTTTTCTCATCAATCATGGATTTTAGTTAAGGGAAAAAAAAATAAAGAATGAGAAATAAAAAAACACTTATAATGATTTTATTCCATAAGTTTTTTATTTTCTTATTTTTTTTATTAATGGATTGGAATTAATGCAATGAAGATATTTCATCTTCAAATCAAAATATTAATCTGATATATTTTAAAAGAAAAGATTTTGTGTTTTTAAAAAGAATAATATTAGAATATCCGATAACATTTTTACAAAATTACCTTAATATCTCCGATAACAATTGGAAAATCAATCTTCAAACATAATCCAGAGAAAATTATGAGTTTTGAAAGCAGCATTGCTTAACCCAAAATGGACTACAAAGACTTGCCTGAAAAACTTTAATCAGACCGATAAGAGACAACAAAACTATAAATTTTGTGTCTATAATTAGATCACACAACTTGTGTTTACAAGTGTTGCAATAAATACATTGAATAGACACTAATCTAAAGAGTGGAATAACACATCAACCCATGAAGTTGTTTCACTTAAGGAGTATCTACATGTTCCTAATTCTAACAACAAACTTTGTCATAAATGCTGTCATAAAGTCTAAATTGTTGCTAGTACCAATTCACTGATCAACATCAACCGCACTGCATAGTAAGATGACACAGAACTACAACACGAAATGCCAATCATGCAGCAGTTTTGAAGAGCTCACATTTTTTTATGACAAGCATACACAGACAATTAACAATCAGTTGCTTTTAGGAGTCACTTTAATTAGTACAAGACACAAACAAATTGAAAAAAAAGTTGAGATTTTAATAGTATGAAAGATTCAACATTCATGCTGAAGTTTGGCTAATAGAGGCACTAGTTCTGTAATCTGTATTACTATATCAACAAGACTAATAGAATGCTAAAAGAACTGAGTATAAAGCATAAACAAACTCCAGCCACAAGATGTCAAGAGAAGAAAAGATAAAATAAAAACAGATCATCCACTATTGTTGTTACAACATCAATATGAACCTTACAACACCTGGCTTTTACCAAAAACTAAAGCTGTAGTTAGCTTGCTGCAGAATCCAACTTCCTTTTTAAGGGACAATAATAGCAAATGAAAATTCGATCTAAGAAATGAAGCATTGACTTGGACACCAGACATGACATTGACTACTGATACGTTGACACCGGTAATAAAATAAAATATATATAATTTGAACGTAACCATGTTTGTTAGTGTCGGACACCGGACACGCCTTTGATTAGAGGTGTCGGTGATCCGGATAATTTGATGGTTGTTTTAAAATTCAAAATAACAAAAGCATCTCACCTAGTTTTAATCTTGTAGTAGACCTCTAGCAATCATTTCACGAATAAGTTTCACCGCCTTATCATTCTTGTTGTTTTCAAAGAAAGCACGAACAAGAATTTCGTATGTTACAACATTAGGTGTGCAATTGTTGTCTTCCATTATTGACATTAAGGACAATGCTTCATCCAAATATCCTTCTTTACAAAGGCCATTAATCATCACAGTATACATCCTAACATCTAAATGATAGCCTTTAATCGTAAGATCCCTATAAACCTTTTGTGCATCCTTAATTCTTCCAGTTTTGCATAGTCCATCAACAAGTATTGTGTATGTATACATGCTCGGATGAATCCCTTGGTCTTTGATCTTCGCTAATAATGCAATTGCCTCGTCAACCTTATGGTTTTTGCACAAAGCATCCAATAAAGAATTATAAGTGATCACATCAGCAGGCTGGCCTCTGTCATGCATCTCATCTATAAGATCCCAAACATCAGAGATCCTCCCTGATTTGCAAAGTCCATGAATAAGGGAAGTGTATGTTACAGTATTAGGAGCCATGTTTTTCAAATGCATTCCTTTGAAGAGATTCACAGCTTCATCCACCATTCCACTCTTACATAATCCATCAATCATGACAGTGTAGCTGTGAATATTAGGTTCCACTCCTCTTCGAGCAAAAGAGTTGAATATGTGTTTAGCCTTGTTCACTTCTTTAACCAAGAAATATCCATCCATCAAAGAAGTATAAGTAACAACAGTAGGTTTCACACCTTGTTTTATCATAACAGCCAACACATATCTAGCTTTTTCCACCTCTCCTTCCTTACATAAACCATCAACGAGTGTGTTAAAAGTACGATCATTCGGGCTGATATTTTTCAACAACATTTCATTTAACAAACCAATTGCTTCTTTCAATTGACCGACAATGCAAAGGCTGTTTACTAAAGTAGTATAAGTGATAATATCAGGAGAAATTCCTTTAACAATCATTTCAGAATATAAAGCGAAGGCATCATTCACAAGTTTATCCTTTCCCAAACTATCAAAAATTGTGTTGTACATTACCACGTTAGGCTTAACCAATGACCCTTCGATCTTCTTAAGAACCTGCATAGCAGCTCTTGTTTCTCCTATTTTACATAAACCACTAATCAATGTTCCATAACTAAAATGATCAAGTTGAAACCCGTTTGCTATAACGTCATCGTGAAAGTGAAGGGCTTTGTGAAGCTTGCCACTGTTACAGAGACCTCTGATAAGTGTATTCATTGTTATTGTATCAGGGTGATAACCTAGCTTGAGAATCTTGGCCAATATAGAAAATGCAAAATTGAGTTGAGCTAGGTGGCAGAAACAATTAATCAAGATGTTCAAACTAACAGTGTTGGTTCGAATTCCTCGAAGATCCATTTGTCGAAAAAGGGAAATAGCAGTTTGAAAATGTTGAACCTTAACGAGGGAACCTAATATCTTGTTAAATTGTAAGATGGGAGGGGTAGGGTTTGTATTGAGCATGCGATTGAATGTGAAAAGAGCATCATCAACAGCAACAGGATTGTGATTGTGAGAGAAGAATCGAACAAGAAACAAGTTGGAAGAAGGAAGAGAGAGAGGGTACCTTGACCTGAATAGTGACATTATTGTTTTTTGTTGCAACGCGTTTGGGGCGGATTCCCTCTCCACTCAAAATAATAAGCTCGGGGGACTCTTTCTCCACTATGAAGTTATATGTAGTTTGTCACAAGGTTAGCCGTGCAGATATTTTCATCAATATAGTGTCACTTGTTTACTCTAATTTAGTAGCTTAGATGATATATATATATATATATATATATATATATATATATATATATATATATATATATATATATATATATATATATATATATATATATATATATATATATATATATATATATATATATATATATATATATATATATATATATATATATATATATATATATATATATATATATATATATATATATATATATATATATATATATATATATATATATATATATATATATATATATATATTTTGTAACACTTATTATTCAATGAATGAGAATATATATATATATATATATATATATATATATATATATATATATATATATATATATATATATATATATATATATATATATATATATATATATATATATATATATATATATATATATATATATATTGTACACTTATTATTCAATGAATGAGAATATTTCATCCTTTCTTCTTTTATCCATTGCACTGCATAGTTTGTTAGATTCTATTACTTACAGTTGCAAGTTTGTTACAATTTTTTTTTGAGTTTATCACCATTAACATGGTATCGAAGCTTAATCAGTTATAGTAGCCATTATTCTTGTTTCTCTGCTACTTGATGATAAGAACTATCACACTTGGTTAAGATCGATGCACATTACCCTCATCTCCAAGAACAAAGAGAAGTTCATTAATGGAACCCCCACAAAGCCAAATATATTAGATCTTTTGTATGCTTCATGGATTCGATGCAATACTATGGTCTTAGCTTGGATTCTTCGATATGTCTCATAACTAATTGCCAAGTCAGTTTTGTGGATTGATAGTGTTGCAGGAGTATGGAAAAATTTGCGGATTTGCTTCTCTCACAGTGACATATTCTGCATCTTAAATATTCAAGAAGATCTTTACATGTTTCGTCAAGGTACACTTGATGTGTCCAACTATTTTACATAACTCAAAGTTGTTAGAGCACAGATTGGTTCTTAATAATATCTCTTTGTTTTGATGATAACTGTTAGGAAATTTTATATTTAAGAATTATATACTCTAAAATTTGTTTGAGAGTTTTACTGCAAATTGAAATGAAATTAACTCTCTAGAAGCAAATCTGAATTGTATACAAGAAGTTATCTTGACTCTGAAGCGCCAGATGCATTCATTAGAAGATTCTGATTGCTGTTTACAGAAGATCCTGAGCGTAGTCTCCAGAAGGATCTGAAGCAAGAAGCTCCAGAAGATTCTGAAGCTAGTCAGAAGCATCTGAAGCAAAGAAGAATATTGTATGAAGAGTTTCTCAAAGCATAGTTTCTACAGAAGTTTCTGAAAGTACTAACGCTGCCAAGTACTGGAGTTCTGTGTCAAATATGCTCTGATGATCATTTATTTCAAACCTTTTTGTTGCGTCCAAAGCACAGACTTAATGTTGAACATTTATTTCAAACCTTTTTGCAAGAAATACAGATGTATTTAGGTACTGTTCAGAAGAAATGCTCAGCAACAATGGATGCCAAAGAATCTGACATCATTTGGAACGGATTCATCAACAGATTCAACACTGTAGCTTCAAATCTGAAGAACGTCTGTTCTGATGATGCAAAGCTCAAATTTGCTGAGGCTGCAAGAGCTATATTCTGGACTGTCAACAAAACTGAACCTCTGCTTCGTTTAGATGCGCCTCCACCATCAACAAAATCTACTGATAATGCATTGGCTATGACTCTGGTAGACCCTTCTCCAGGATCTACAGAACCAATGGAAATTGACTCTGTTCAAGCTACAGAACCTCCTCATAATTCTTCATCTGAGATAAAGAAAGAACATCCAGATTTTGAAGATAAGATTGCTGCTCTGGAAGCTGGACAGTCAGAGATCAAATCCTGGATGGCTAAGCAGGATAAGAAGTCTGAGGATATGACAAAATGGATGTCAAAGCAAGATGAAAAGAATGAAACTATGACTAAGTGGATGTCCAAGCAAGAGCAATCATCCTCTGAGATTACAGATCTATTGAAGATGCTTTTGTCCAAACACTCTTAGATTTTTTTTTCATTCTAATGTTTTTGCATCTGTTGTTTACATTTGTACCTTATTGCTATATCTTCTGATGTTTGCCTATGTACTCTTGATCTGATCTTTTGAATGAATCAAAGTTTTCTCCATTGAATTATCTTATTTACTGTTTCCTTTTATTTGTCTTTTTAAAAGTTCTTACTTTTTTCTTATGACAAAAAAGGGGGAGAAAATATAGATCTGAACTGTTTAATATAACTTCACCAGAATGAATCTTCAGACATATCTATTCTATCTAACATTTAAACTGACTATTTCAGAACATTTGATAAGTACACTATATAAAAGAAATTATGAGTTTCTCAGATCATTTGTCTATTATCAAACTCTGAATCTTATATCTGCAAGACATTCTGACCTTCAAATGTTATAAGAACAAACAAGATCTAACTCTGAAGATTACTCAAGACAAAAGGGAAGTTTCTATTCCCTATTTGTATTTAACTCAGGGGGAGATTCATCATCTCAGGGGGAGTTATAATTCTTTATGTTCAGTTAAACAAAATTTCTGATACTTTTTGTCATCATCAAAAAGGGAGAGATTGTTAGAACACAGATTGGTTCTTAATAATATCTCTTTGTTTTGATGATAACTGTTAGGAAATTTTATATTTAAGAATTATATACTCTAAAATTTGTTTGAGAGTTTTACTGCAGATTGAAATGAAATTAACTCTCTAGAAGCAAATCTGAATTGTATACAAGAAGTTATCTTGACTCTGAAGCGCCAGATGCATTCATTAGAAGATTCTGATTGCTGTTTACATAAGATCCTGAGCGTAGTCTCCAGAAGGATCTGAAGCAAGAAGCTCCAGAAGATTCTGAAGCTAGTCAGAAGCATCTGAAGCTAAGAAGAATATTGTATGAAGAGTTTCTCAAAGCATAGTTTCTACAAAAGTTTCTGAAAGTACTAACGCTGCCAAGTACTGGAGTTCTGTGTCAAATATGCTCTGATGATCAACACGCTGAAAGCACACATGCTGCAGAAGACTCTGATACATCAAAGTTCTGAATATCATTAGAAGACTCTGACTCAATCAGACTCTGAAGAACTTGCTGAAAACTGAAGAAGAAATATTCAAAGATTATATCCGTTGGAGTAAATCAAACGTCTCTTTCCTCATTTGTGCTAGACACAAGAACACAGACAAAAAGGATTTTTCCTGTGCCTTCTACTTCTAGGAAAGGTCACTTGATGTAAAGACAAAAAGGCTCAGACCTTTTTGGGACTCTCTTTTCAACGCTCAGCATGCTTGGATCAGCTACCTATAAAAGGAAGACTCCACCAAATTCTTCAGTGACATAATTTGCTGAAAATAATTCATAATATTCAAAGCTCTCATTCTTTCATATTCTTCTTAGAATTTCTTGTACTTAAACTTAAGAGAAAAATCACTGTTGTGATAAAAGCTTTATAGAAGCATTAATACTCTTGTATTTGATTTACATTGATTGTAAAGGTTTTCCTTAAGAGGATTCAGTTGGAATCAGTAGCTCTTGAGAAGACTAAGAATAGTTGTTCTTAGGTGTTACTATTGTAATCTGTTTGATTAAATAGTGGATTAAGTCCTTGTTGAGAAAGGCAAATCACTCTAGGAAGGGTGGCTTGGAGTAGTTGATTTCAACGAACCAGGATAAAAATAATTGTGTTATTATTTTTTAAGTCTTAATCTTTCATACTTATTCAACCCCCCTTCTAAGTATTATCTCACCTTCAAAAGTAATGTGGGATGAGTTAGAAAATTATCGCTCTCTACTTGCTTGCTTATGTGTCATTCCTTGTTCTTGTAGTACTATTGTTATGAGTTAGAAAATGGATGAAGCTCTGGCCCAGCCACCGACAAAAAGTTTGAAGGTTTCGACCGTAAGACCTACTTCTTTTACAATAGCGGAGCCAATTCCCGAGGCTTTGTCGAAGAAAGCTGCAAATCAGCCTGAAAGCAACAATTCCAACCCTAGGGCTGATGTTCCTAAAGTAATACATCTTACTTCTTAAGCTTTTCTTTCTTTTTTATTTATATATATTAACCGACCGTTCCTTTCATGATGATGCAATTGTGACCACCCAGCCAGCCACTAAATCTACCAATACTACAATCTTCAATAGTGAAGGCGAACCAACATATCATCTTACCTCTGCCAGAAATTCTAAAAAGAGTTCTATGAGTGAGATTAATCAAATAGTCGAGGAACAGCGTGAGCTTCGCCGTCTAAAACCACAACTCAAAATTCTCATACTAGTGGGTCTGAGCCCGAAGGTGATATGGAGAAAGAAGCGCATGCCAAAATAGCTAGAGATGATATGGAGGTGGAACGTACTGACATCTGTGTCGAAGAAGAAACTGAGGATGGCTCTTTAAGAGTCAAAAACCAGGAGGCCATCTTGCAAAATTAAGATGACAATATGGAAGAAGTTGAGGGTCACTCCTTGTTCCCTAACTATAATATGCCTCCTATTGAAGAATTTAAAAAGATAACATGCAACGAAGTTACTGGTGGCTACTTTGCCACTTCTTAATAACATGTAACGAAGTTTTCAAAGAGAAAAGATAACAAACAAAATTGTAACAAGAACACTACTAACACTGTCCCACCGAGTGTGCCAATTTGTTTACTGGGAAAATTAATAAATAACCGCTGGTATTTTCAATTGAAAAAGAATTGGGTTACGTACAGGATCGACCATACAAATCCTAAGACATGTGCTAGTAATTCTTAATTTAAAGTTTGGGAAATAATGAATATTTCAACAATATACATGATCTGACAACTATCAACTTTGAAATTTAAAGGAA